AGTCACCAAAGCAGTAGGCATGAGCTTAAATGGACTCCAGAGGATGGTAGAGGACAAGAAGGCCTAGAGGAATGTTGTCCCTGGGGTAGCGATGGGTCGGACACGACTTCGCAACTAACAATAACCACCCCTATGGTCACATGATCACAATTCAGATGCTTGACAACCAGCTTGCATTTACAACCCATTATAGTGCCTTGCTGTTCTGTAATCACAATTTTCAACCTTCCCAGCTGGTTTCCAACAAGTAAACTCAATGGGGAAAGCAAAATTTGCTTAATGATGGTGTGATAGACTTAAAAACCATGGTGATTTGTTTAATAAAAAATCGTAAATTACATTTTTCAGTGCCCTTGTAACTTTGAACGGTCATTAAATGAACTGTTGTAAGTCGAGGATTACCTGCATCTTCTTTTCTGCATAGCATATGACAGCAAACCAGCAAGAAATAAATGTCTTCATTAAAAGCTTACAAGTCTTTCTTTACAATTAAATCCAAATGTCCTGTACATTACTCATAACAATATGATCCTCGGCACCATTCACAAGTTCGATGCAATTCATCTTTCAAAGTCATAAACCTTACTGGAATGTAGCAGCCCAAGTGGAAGCAGAAATGATATTCCATTCCAAGAACTAAAATTCTCCATAATTAAAACATATTGCAGGAATGGACACCAATAATAAAACTACCTGATGTATTGTACTTAATGCAAAACAGTATGATTAAAATATCATAATGCTTATGTAAAAGAAACCTTTTTTCACAAGGAAAATTTTCTACGTACATAAAACTGCTAAACTGAAGGAATGTTAAAGTATTATAGATTTTGCAACCTGAGAAGTTAATTGTAATTATGCTTCGTTAAAAACAGAACAGATCTGAAAGGAAATAAATCACGTTACAGGTAAATGCCATTCATTACCTTTGGGATCCTCTAATTTTTCATTCACTCTTTCTTTGCATGAGAGTTTTTCAATTGGTTTAATTAATTTTTCTTCTTCAGAGAAGGCAATAAAACAGATGAAAGACAAGGATGAAAATAAATGGTTTAGAAAAACAGAACTGGATGAAATGAATGGAAGAATAAGAATGAGAAGTAATAAAAAGGAACAAATCTGAAAATGAAGTGTAAACAAGCTTTGCAGATTAGTAATTTCCTACCTACAGACCAGATCTATTTTAAAAACAGCAACGCTAGACCCATATTTTATTATAATTCCAAATAAGATACATGCATTTTAGATTAGTAGAAATAGAAATACCTATTATGAGAAGGTATTACTTTTAATAATCCAGAAAAAAGACTATTATAGAATTTTGAAATGGGTTTATGATTCAAAAAGAGTGCTTCAAGATTTTGGAGGAATGTGAACACGGAACCTGTCCACATTTTATTAAAGAAGCCTTATCAAAGTCTAGGACCATGCAATGGCTGCTGAGGAGCTTCTGATGCAGTTGTGTGATCCCAGGATACCTGCGAGACCCCCTACTGACACCGGTAGCCTCCCATCGTCCAGTGCGATCCCACAGAGTTGGCCTCCTCAGGGT